CCTAATACGAAGAGAGGACTCTTTGGAAAGGAGCTGCGAAAGCTGATGCTGGGAAAGATTGAAGGCAAAAGGAGAAGAGGGCGGCAGAGGATGAGATGGTTAGATAGCATCACTGAAGCAATGAGCATGAAACTGAGCAAACTCAGGGAGGCAGTGAAGGACAGGAAGGCCTGGCGCAATATGGTTCATGGGGTCACGAAGAGTCGGACACGACTTAACGACTAAATAACAACAACAACAACACCCTCACCACTGTCATAAATACTTGAACTCTACTGAATTGGATGAATAAATATGCATCTAATTGTTATTTTAAGCTTCAGAAATCAGAGAAATATATTTTTGTTTTGTATAAATGTGGTTTTGTTTTATATCACCTATATATGCTAACATTTAAGGATTTCAGGAATGAGCAGTTAAAAGGTAATAAAACCATTCTATATCAGTCTCATGAAATTAACATTCATACAAATAGCCAATAGCTTAAAACTGAACATTACATTGGTCTATACGTAGCTTTAGGTAGCATTTAGAAGAGGCTGGTTCAGTAGTAGTTAAAGGAAAAAAATAAGCATGCATTTTACACATTCAATTCAGATTAACAGTTTCAATGTTTGTGCTTCATAAGCTGTTCCCGGTTGTTTAACTCAGGCCTCAGGAGAATTATGTAACATTTTGGAAAAAAGATACAACTCAGAAGCCCAGCACTGGAGGCTAAGATACAGAAGATCTCCACTGCTACAGTATATTTTCCCCTGGTACTGAGATAGGCTGGTACAAAAGATGACCAAACACTGCAGAAGATCAACATACTAAAAGTGATGAACTTGGCTTCATTGAAACTATCTGGCAACTTTCTGGCAAAGAAAGCTATGATGAAACATGTTGTTGACAGAAAGCCCACATAGCCCAAAACACAGTAAAACATCGTAACAGAACCTTCATTACATTCCAGTACAATTTTTTCAGTTACTGAGTTCATGTCAGCTTCTGGAAATGGAGGACAGGTGACCAGCCATGCTGTACAAATGCCTGCTTGGATAATGGAGCAACAGAGGACAATGGGAAAAGCTAGTCCTTTTCCCACCCAAGTCCTCATTCTACTTCCTGGTTTTATAGCCCTAAAAGCCAGAATAACGGTAGTGGTTTTTGCCAATATGCAAGAAATAGCCACTGAAAAGATCATGCCAAAACTAACTTGTCTCAAAAGGCATGTCACTTTCCCAGGTGGGCCAATAAATAGAAAAGCACAGGGAAAACAGAGCAAGAGGGATATTAGGAGTGTGTAGGTGAGACGCCTATTATTAGCTTTGATGACTGGGGAATCATGGTGCTTCACAATAGCTCCTAAAACCAAAGCTGTGAAAACAAACAGGGTGAGTGCCAACATTATTAAACTGATCCCCAGTGGTTCGATATAGGACAAGAACCAGGTATTCTTAGGAACACAGAGGTCTTGAGCTCTGTTTGGATATTCATCTTCAGGGCATTTGTGACAGTCATCCATGTCTGAAAATGAAAGGATGTCATTACATACAGTATTTCTCCAAGTTTCCTTAATTATTCTCCCATAAACATAAACTTGAACACCCACGTGACTTTTCATTCCCAAAAGATTTTGCCAAGTAAAGTAACTTAAATCTTAAGTAATGTACCAGATAATGTCTTGTTTTATGGAGATAAAGAAAATGTCCTATATTATCATAATCAATGCAACATATTGTGTTGCTGGAGAAAATAAAGCTTTAACACACATGGTAACAATTCACAGTCATGTTACTCATTTATCCATTTGATTTATTTTATTTATTTGCTTCAGCAAATATTTGATTCATTGGCTTTATCCCTTTCAACAACTTCAGAATAATTTTCAAGTGTAATTTGAGTGTCATAGTAAATACGTGTAGAAGGAGGAAGCAGAAGAAAAAGCAGCCTTTGATCAGCGTTTCTCAAACTTGGCAATTTTAAGATGTGTGGCTGGGGAATTCTGGGAGTTGAAATCCACACATCTTAAAGTTGCCAAGTTTGAGAAATGCAGGTCTAGATCTTGTTAACTGACCTTTAAGAATGTAATTGGTCATCCTATTACTCAGAAATATATTCCGCTGAATTTAATTGGAGTTGCTCCTAGTAGGTTTGTATAAGATTGCCAATATATTGTTCTGCTATTGGACTTTTAACCCAGGATCAAACTACATATTACATTTTTCATTAAATATTTCATATGGATTAGGCTGTATCCAGGTTTAATGATAAGTAAGTAGACCTATGGCAATAAAATGGGCTTAGTTTAGTAATTACTAACAAGTCCTTCATATTTCTAGTTATTAACAACAAATATGAAAAAAATCTAGATCCAATCCATTATGTCAGTCAGCCTTGCATATACTTATCTATTTAGCTATCTAGCTACCGATCGTGATTGATGGATGCCATATTTGCCAAACAGAAAATGAGTGTTTTTCCCTCAAATAATTACCTTTGAAGGGTGGTTTTGAAAATATAAGTAAAGACTATTTAAAGAAGCAGATTCCATTTAAAAATGTGCAGATGTTATTGAAAAAGAAAGATGGGTCCACCTCTCAATGAGTAAAGAGTATACAAAAATAGATATAGAGTTCTCATTTTCAGCAAGGTAGAAACAATTGGCTACAGTGCCCCCCCCCCCTTTACAACTAGAGGACCAACAATCTAGATCTCTTTGGGAGTTATGAAAAAGGTTACAACTCATGAGAGTATCAGGGAGGAACCTTGCTCCTCCCAAATCCTACTGGCTATTCCTAATTTTTTTTTTTTTTCCTTTCCTGCAGACAACACTACTGAAAGTTAGTAGTATTACTGGAGTAGTAACTTTTAAACAACTTTGAAGAGAGCTTCTGTCTCTTTCCTTGTTTTCTTCAATCCCTATTTAGAGACCTCCTCCCTCAACTGCATCCAGTTACCTCTTCTCAGATGCATTACTTTGATAAATGGAGCATTTTATTTTAAAGGCAATTGATTTTAATCAGGAATTATCAAGTCAGTTATAATGTATTTAATTACTGATCCCACCCCACTTTTATTGTGTGTGTGTGGGGGGGGGGCATGGATGTCAAGGTTGGTTCCTGCTGGACTTGGCAATTCCAGATTAATACAATGGGGAAGATGGAATTATGCCAGATTTCTGCTTATGCTTTTTGGGGAAACAGGGTTGTAATAAATTCAGGGTCACCATCCTTTTAAATAAATACAGTCAATAGACCTTAAAAATTCTTCAGAATTTTAAAATGCATTTCGTACCTGTTTGGTCAGTGATTTTTTCTCCTGGACATGGCATACAATCATAGCAACAAAATGGCTTCCCTTCCTGTTTTCTCTTGAAATAACCAGGATGGCAGTTGTCAGAGCACACAGAGATGGGCAACATCTAGTTAAAAAAAAAAAAGGACAATCCCTATATATATAAAGCTGTTCCTATTCACTTTAGAAAACCAAATCTGAAAAGAAATAAAACAAAGTAGTGATAATTTTTTTAAATCACTTTGTTTTCTCTGCAGGAGAAAAACAGCAATTATGTTTGAAGTTTCAAACACCATTTATGTTTAGAAATGATCTTAGTTTTATTAGCTTAACATAAAAATAAAAATAATTAGGAATCACCAGCAAAACATATGGCAAAACTCATGCATGTCCAGAGAAGACCACCTCCTTAATGAAGGTAAAAATTGCAAGCAAGTGGAAGGAAGGAAGGAAGGAAGGAAGGAAGGAAGGAAGGAAGGAAGGAAGGAAGGAAGGAAGGAAGGAAGGAAGGAAGGAAGGAAGGAAGGAAGGAAGGAAGGAAGGAAGGAAGGAAGGAAGGAAGGAAGGAAGGAAGGAAGGAAGGAAGGAAGGAAGGAAGGAAGGAAGGAAGGAAGGAAGGAAGGAAGGAAGGAAGGAAGGAAGGAAGGAAGGAAGGAAGGAAGGAAGGAAGGAAGGACTTGCTCACTATGAAACAAAACTGAGGATTTCTCAATTGTACCACCTCATGTCTCTGTTGATGATTGTTTTATCTCATGCCTATGCCGAGCATCCTGAAGCCCTGATGAAATGGAGAGTATCTTACCTAGCCTAACTTTAATTGCTGATATTTAGAAGAGGTTCTTAAAGGCTGGAAATCCAAGGTGCATTAGCCAATCAAATACTGACTAGTGAGCATTGGGTGGGATTCTCATTGTCTTGTCTTTTTTTTCATTTTAAATATAACTTCATGAAAATTTTAAAGAGAAAGATAAAAACTAACAAGAATTAATATTTAGAATGAAGAAAGAAATGCAAAGAGGGAAATAAGAAAAGAACGGAGTTAAAAGTGCAGAAAATAAAAAGAGAGAAAAAGAAAAGAAATATAAAGAAAGACTCAATTTTCTTTTACAGCAGTTTTAACTATAAATGTAAATTAACTTCTTACTCTATGGTTACTTGCTTACATTTTTTCTATAATCCAAAAGGGCTAGAAACAAATTAATTTTAAAGGAGTTTAAACATGAATAATCTAGTCCAGTTCCATTCATGTACATGTTCATGATTTTGATGAATATTTGGTAGCTTATAGTTTACTGGTTATTATTATCAGTTACTTCAGTTGTTTTCCTTGAATGCATTTTCAGTCTTGTGTTAACCACTGAACTGAAATGGAAGGAAAATATCTGTAATGAATTCCATCCTATTTATGGAATACATTGCTCTGTTAAAAATATCCAACTGGAGTTCACACAAGATCTTATTAGAATGGAACATCCAATCATACCTGGTTAAAACTGCTGTGCCATGTGATAGCTTCATCACAAATGCTGAACATTTTGTCAGGTGAAACATGGGGATCTAGCTTTCCAACTTTCACTCGATGGAAAGATTGGTTTGCAAATGCAACCCAATTTACTATATCGAAGCCCCCTATCAATGCACCATTTTGGTCAAAAGAAATTTCATCTCCAACAGTATTGTTAAATGAGACTCTTTTTAGAAAATCGTGGAGCTGTTGGAAATATAATAAAGAAATTCTTTATCAGAACTTACAGCATGGAAACTCATCTCACAATGTTTTAGAAGATATATGTTTCCTTTCATTGAAAACAGCTCTCTAAAATTATTAATACTTTTTGAGTTATAGTACCCAGTACCTTTCTCAAAACAAAAATGATGCTCAGTGTGTGGAATTGATTCCTAAATTACACATGTAAATGCAGGATTTTGGATGTTGCTCTTCTCCTGATTTGTTATACTTGATCTAAATGGAACACTAGAATGCTGTTCTGTGATAAACATTACAGAATATTTATTTATTACAGAATATTTATTCTGTAATTCTGTAAAGAAATGTTGAAAGGAGGAAGTTTCTATCATCCCAATATAATCCTTGTTATTCAGTCAACCATCAGCCATGTATTCTTTTGCAATAATTAAAATATCTCACAGTCAATCCAATATCAACTGTTTTTACCAGGAGAAGCTATTCAGTGCCACCTTCCTCATGGAATTATTACTGAACCACTCTTGTTATTCTGGTTTTGGAGTAAGAAATTGTTTTTCTTTGGATATAATTCTTTCTTGTTTCTTTGACTTGATCTTGACCTTGACTGTGATCTTACAGCAAGCATCATGACTCCCCAAAGAGCAAACTTCTATTTAAGTATGCAGATTGATGATGTGGTATGATAATAATATTGGTAGGCAACTGAATTTGTGGTATCATAAGCAGATTAACCTTTCTCTGTGAGCAACCCTTTTGAGAGGAAAATTTTTGGGATGAATCCCTATTCCTCCCACATATGGGGATCTCAATTTACTGCTTTATTTTATTTGTATATGTTTGCTCTACCTTGCCACTGACCAAAATAAACATTATCTATCTATTTATCTAATCTATCTTGGTGAGTGTAGCCAAATAAAACAAGCAAAACAAGATTAGCATATTGATTAAGTATACAACTAGGATGGGACGACGACGACGACGACGACGACGATGATGATGATGATGATGATGATACTTATTATTCCTTCATTTCACAAAGGACTCTGGAAGGCCATACAATGTTTCTATGGGATTTCATAAATTCTGGATTGCTCTTGGATATGACAGTACAACTACAAAAGGCATTGCTGGATGGAAGAAAAAGGAATGCCTCTTTACTATCAATAACTTGAGGGCCACTGCAACCTTTTGGCACATTTTCAACAATGTAGTACTGTGCTTCCAGAAAGTCACCATGTCCTGGCTCATCAGGTAGGGCATGCACATTGAAAGATGGACAGCTAATATTCCTGGTGACTAGTTAAGTAGAAAAGATAGGAAGATGAGAAGAATGGGAAGAGGCATCAATGGAGAAATATGTTTATATTCATATGAACCTGTTGTTACATAAAATACAGCATGCTGGCTATCCTGGCTCTACTTGGTATGCAATTGTTATGGTGCATTGGTTGGAATGTGATGGTTTTTAATTCTGTGGAATCCTGGTTTTAATTTTTCATATATTCATAGTGACTTGATTGTTGTTATCAGCCCAGGGTTATATTGTATAAGATGGGTGACCATATAAATATTTTAAATAATAAACAAGGAAGCAAGGAAGCAAGTAAGCTTGCCTTCTGAGGCCATTACCTGCCATGGTTGTTGATTCTGTAGTTTCATGCTTCTTCCATGTTTGGATTCACTTGACTGCATGTCATGTAAGGCATGGGCAACTGCATAGACAGCATTATAAACATTGTAGCTGTGGCCAGTCATGCTTATTTCAAAAAAAGCCCCAGGAAGATCATCTAGCTTCTCTTCCCCAGTGCAAACTTTAATATCATTTTTGCTAATGAACAGACCTGGAAATGTACAGTCAAATGATTGTTCCCAAAAATCCCTGATGAAGCCATCTCCTCTTGTCAAGAAATGATTTCGAGTTTGAATAAAATTTTGAAATCCTAATATTTCATTTGAGTGAACAGCCATTGATAGAGCCCCATGGATAGTTAGTTTATCCCAGTTCTTCTGAAAAGGTAATGTGCTGAGCTCCTGCTGGATAGCCATGATCCATACTTTGCTTCATACTGCATGGTTACAAACTCCATTTCTGGCAAATATAGTAGCCACCTCAGGTGTATCATATTTTCTTCATACACAACTATTATACTGGCTTTGCTTTGAAATATAACATCATGTGTTCTCAGCATCCACTGCCATAGATCAAAAAGATTACTGATGTAAACTGTCATGATCCTTTCTAAAAAGGCAAAACAGATTCCACTCAAGGGAAACACTGAGACTATGTTTTCTATAAATCCTTCTCCATTGTTATCATCTTTAGCAAGGATCCCAACCCATGTCCATGCAAAGTGCAGCAATAGTCGTAGAATCCCTGTATATTTGTAGGATTCATTTGGGACCATCTGGTAGAAGGAGAAGACACCATCTCTGTCATTCATAGATGGAATAGATCCATAAGGGAACTATAAAACCATACGTAGGCTTGGTTATATGTAAAAGAAAAACAATATAAAGAGACATCATCAGAATTAAAGTTATGAGTAAGATATTGTTTATCATGCTATGCATTGCTGTGCTAATTTTAATTAGCAAACCTTGTCTACTTGAAATATGCTTGGAAGAAATATATCATACAGAATGATGAAAGAGATTCTTACAGGTATTCACCAATAACTGATTGATGAGGGTGTTCATTGAAATCCATTGAGTAGGTAGGCATGAAGACTTGAGATGTTATGCAGCCAATAATGATTCTTCCTGGTTGATGATACCTGTCAACAGGAAAATGTGCACTGGTTAAGTTAGATTTTGCTCAGTTTCTCATTTTTCCAGTCTTAAATTAATTCTGTCTGGCGTCTTCATCACTTTGCAATTTAAAAAAAAATCCATGTGAATATTCATATGGAGATTCATGCACACAACTCCTAATATACTGTATAACTTTTTCTCATACAGTGCACACATTTTTGAAAATAGTTTCCCTAATACAATGCACTTTCTAATGTACCTCCCCTAATAGATACATATTTGAGTTATAAATTGCATTACAAAGTTTGAGATATGCAGGTATCAGGATATAACTCCACTCTGATTCATGTATAAATTGGGTAAGTATCATTTAAATCTGTACTAAGAACCTTTCTCTTCAGACCTACCTGTGCAGAATAGGGATTGGTTCACTGCTTTCACACTTCCTTTTATGAGATTTGCATACCAGATGAGGCAACTTTATGACTAGAATAATCACAAAGAGTGCCATCATAAAGAAAAACTTCTGTGAAATTCCAGATTAGTAGAACAAGGCTTGTTCTATTTTAGCATCAGATCTGATTAATCTGGGCTCCAGTTGGGCTATTTCTGTGACTCCTCAACACAAAGTACGATCCTTTTCCAAAAGAATCAGAACAGAAATGGGGATATTTTGAAACTTCATACACCATCCAGTAGTTTAGAATACTTCAGAAAAGCAGAGTGTATGTTGATCAAAAAAGAAAAGGCAGCCCTGATTCTTTGTTTCTCTTTTGTGTTTCTCTCTGAAATTCTAGAATAGAATGTAACGGTGGGAGGAGAAATAGAATTGTGAGACTGATAAATCTGTGTTCTAATCACGTGGAATAGTTTATAAGAGTGGTAATTCTACTAATTATAGGTTGCAAGAGAGACAGAGTAGAATTAAAATTTCTCCGTAGAATTGCAAAAAATGTGTGTTCTGTTGTTCATTAGAATAATACATTAGGTTGATTGGAGAGCTAAATTAGAGGATTAGGATCAAGAGCAAACTATAAGGTAAATAGAGGAATAAAATGTTATATAAGACAGAGGGTTTATTGAAAAGCCAATAAAATATATTTATTTATTATTTTTGTTTGTTTGTTTGTTTTGTTCATTCATTCATTAAAAAAGGAAAATATGAAAAGGCAGAAGTATCTGTATCTGGGAAGTCCAAATCTGGAAAATGTAAAGAACAAAAGGAAACCACATACGTAAACCAATCTAGGAATGTGTTGATTGGAGTAAATTGATTGGAGTTGCCCAGAGTCCCCCACTGGGGGAAGATCGGCAGGGGAGAAATCCAACAAATAAAATAAAATAAATAAATAAATCTAAAACAGCAATAAAAACCATATGGGATAACTATTTGGATGGGCTGCAATGAATATTGTTGTTGTTGTTGTTGTTGTTGTTGCAATTTGCAATGTCCTGAAATTAATACCCAAGCTCTCAGACTTTTGTTTATCTTTTTTTGGTGCTTCCAATACAATCTTGTCTTCTGGCAACTACCAAGACAGGTTCATTCAGTTTTCTTGGTCATATTTTCAGATATGGTTTGCCATTGCCTTCTTCCTAGAGCTGAGAGTGAATGGCACAAAGTCACCCAGATGACAAAGAATGGGGTCTGTTCTGTCAAGTCATGCAAGGAATTGTTGTAAGCAAATTCAGAGAAGGGTAGGAGTTGGGACCAGTTGTCCTGTTGGTAGCTAGTGTAGCAATGGTGAAGTTACAATACAGCGAAGTTACAATGGCGCTGAATAAGTGGTGGTTAGAACTGATCTTCGAAGTTCTGGCCATTCCAACACCCTGTTGGTCATGTCATCATGATCTGGGTATGTGGCAACTGGCTCGCACTTATGACAGTTGCACCGTCCCATGGTTAAATGATCGTGATTTGTGACCTTCCCTGCCAGCTTCCCACAAGAAAAGTCCTGGTGTAGCAATGGAGGTACTGTCCCAGTGCAGCCTTGGCTAAGGCAGGACTGGAATTCATGGTTTCTCAGTCTCTAGACCAATTCCTTTAACCACCACACTAACCAGGTTCTCTAGCCTTTTATTATCTTTGAAGAAATATAAATTTTATTGCCTTTGAACCAATATGTATTTAATGCTGAGAACAAAACAAGGTTAACAAGCACTAGACTTGGCAGTGGACAGTAAAGAATAACTGATGGCAGTATTGGAAATAGACTAAATAGATTTAAAAAATGAAGAACAGTTGTAGCTTTCATTCTGATTTTGATTATCAGCAAAAAATATAAGAAATGCACCATGAATATTTCACAGTTGTCCACATGGTGGTGGATCATTTCACCAAAATGGCCCACTTCATCCTATGTGTTGTTGTCCCCATTACCAAGGAGACAGCTTCCTTCTTCCTCCATGTCTTCTGGTTATATGTCCTACCTACTGTATTGCCTCAGATTGGGCCATCCAGTTCACCTCCAAGTTCTGGAAAATGCTATTTAGCCTTCTAGAAGTCAAACTATACCTGTTTGCCACTTTCCATCCAGAGTCAGATGGAGAGGTGGAACAGGCCAGTGCTATACCAGCTATCAACAGGACAACTGGTCCGAACTCCTACTACTCTCTGAATTTGCTTGCACCAATTCCTTGCATGCCTTGACACAACAGATCCCATTCTTTGTCAACTATGGTTATCACAACCAGTACCTTTCTGCACCTGGATCTTCTTTCTCACTTCCCACAACTAATGTAGCCCTTTCTGAGCTACAGGCTGTTCATGACACCATTTGAGAACAAGTGGCCAAGGATTGATACAACATTTTGTTGACCACCTTTGCCACCATCAAGCAGGGCCACCTTTAAAAATTGGTGACCGTGTCTGGCTCTCTCCAAGCACCTGCCATTACATGGCCACAATAGAAAACTAGCCAAATGATTCATAGGACCCTTCCCCATCATAGCACAGATCAACCTTGTCACCTACAATGTTCAGCTTCTCCCTTCTTACCAGATTCTTCCTTATTTTCATTGCTCACTCTTTTTCCTGGACACCTTACCATATCCTGCTCATGAAACTCGTGCACCACCTCCACCCGTACCAGTAGAAGATCATGAGAAACATGAACTAAGCCAAATAATACACTCTCAGCAGTACAAAAGACAGCTGCAGTAGCTCTTAGACTGGAAGAAGTATGGTCCAGAGGAAAGTGCACAAGAAGATGCCACTATTGTTCCTGCATAGGGACTGCCTTTTGTTGCTGGAAGTAGCTTCGGATCTGGCTTTGCACTTTGCTTATTCTTGCTCCTGATTCCTGCTGTATTTGGCCTTGGCATTTTCCTGACCAAGTCTCTGACTCTTCCCTCAGTGCTTTTTAAGATGGTCTGTGTTTTCTGATTACAGACAGAGTGACCCAGCTTATGTATTGTTCTAAGACTATAATAACCTGTCTTATACATGGACATTCTTTCTTTGGTTCACCAGCTCCATTTCTGTTGCCTTTCCCATCCATATGCTGCTGTTCATCCAGACAAGCCTTCTTGACACTTTCACAAGCCTCACTGCAAACATACAGCTCCAACCACCCATATCAGCACTCTCCTCATGCCTCCCCTCCTTTCCCCTCCTCACTGCATTTTTACCAAGCTCCCTCCACAGTGTGTGTTCTCCCACCCAGAGCTACTGCAAGCCTTGCCCCCAACCATCTGCATCATGCCCACATCTTGCCTGACACCCTGAAGCCAGGAGATGAAAAGTGTAACATATATACCACATAAAAAGACTGAAACTTTGACAGAAATGAAATTAATAAAAATGTTTATTTTCTCAAGGAGGAAAGGAAAGGAAAGGAAAGGAAAGGAAAGGAAAGGAAAGGAAAGGAAAGGAAAGGAAAGGAAAGGAAAGGAAAGGAAAGGAATTATGGACCCTGATGTAATAAGGAACTGCAGTGTCAAAAAGAACCAGACCAAGAGGGAGAGCATAGATGCCTGGGTACTGGGTATTGGCTTTGAACATGGCAGTATGGACCATCTAAGATCATGTTCTAACTCTTTAAAGTCAGGATGTACAAAGATCACAGGGTTCACCTCAGGGAGACCCTGACAAAGAGATATGAATTTAATTTCAACACCCACCCGTCCCAATAAGGGAACAAAAAGAAAACCAAGTGATAAAAACATTAAAAAAACAGAGGTCCACAATTCACAATAAACATCAGTTTATTATCATTGTTGGTCAGCCAGATGTTCAGACTGGATATGTCATTTTTATCCACCTATCAAGTCCTTCCCAAGGACCTGGGATAGGC